TTGTGTCCATTTTTGCCCCAACTGTTCAGGGTTGGACCTCTGCGGGCGTATCCAGCTGCGCTCAGCGAAGCAGTTTATTTTAGTGTGGAAGGAGGTGCAGAACTGATACGTGGCTTTCTTACTGATTTATAATTTCATATACCTGAAATTTGTTAAAAATATTTTTCATGACCATATGCACAATTTAACAAAAATACTAGTACTAACCAAGGGTCTAGATGGGGTGTCCTCCATTTCTATATTCTTTAATCTTGGGTCATTTGTCTCTATTCTTTATACTTTTTGCCCATCATTCTCTTTTCTTAATATTTTAGCACCTCATTATTCTCTTTTCTTTATTTTTTAGTCAATTTTTCTCTATTTATATTTTTAGCCATTGTTCTCTATTCTGTGAACCCCATACTAACCCCAATAAATGATGGGAAGATGTTTAGGAGATTCAGTAATTTTTGATAAAATTAAACTATAATTGTTATTTCTTTGCTATATTATGTTTGTTTTTTGTTTTTTGTCACACACTAATTGTGTTTAAATAAAGATATCAATATAAAACCATGCTTACAGGTTTAACCTTTTTACTATTCGAGACAACCAAACAAATGACCACAAATGTTTAAAACAACCGTAATAATTAATTTAAAATATAGATGCTAACATTGACAGGCCAAAGATAAAGTTTGTTTTAAATTGAAGTCTCACGCTGGGAAAGGGGCGTTTATTTACATGTGGTCTGTGGAATACTGGATTTCAGCCTCAAAAGGGACCAATAAATAACTATATACCAATCTGATCAATTGAAATTATGTAATGGATATTGTTCAGATCGTTCTACAATTGAAATAACCATTAAAAAGTAATAATAATAGGATTTTGTGAGCTCAGAAACCTACTATTCATGTGGATCTGTTGAAAAATGGTGTCGATTTATGCGCTTCCTTTTCGCAGCCTCAGTTGCAATTTGACACGGAGTGATGGGTAGTTATGCAAATATTTTGGGACTCCCATCATCATTGATACTATTTTTGGTCATTTTATATTTAAATATCAATTAGGATGCAAATGTGTCAGTTATTTTCAGAAGGGGAAAACAACCGCCATATTTTTATCTTCCAAAACAACAACGTCACTTGCCATTTTCAGAAGTTTGTTTCTTGTAAAATAAAATCTCTGAAGAAGAAAAAATAGCAGTGTCACCTGTTAAACTTACCTATAACTAACTGATAATGAAATGGTGCAAGTTTAATTGTTTTTAATAATAATTGCTTGAAAAATCACACGTACACGTTGTAAACAAATTACTGAGATGGTGTGATACTGTCGCAGTCTATGTAAAAATCGTGATTGTCGCCCTTGAATTCTTGTCCGTTACGTCATATGGAAGGAGGCACAGAACCGACGTGTGGCTTTCCCACTGTAATACACAAAAAAGCACCAAAAAAAATTACAACAAAATTAACAATAACATCAGCAGATTGTTTATTTTAACAACATTGCTTTAAAGGCACCCCCTTATTATGATTTATTGAAACTTTCTCACAATCTTAACCATATAATGCCTTTGGAGCTTTCCCTTACCTAAGCATGGACTTTGATTGATAGGGGTGGGGTATCATTTTATGAGATTCACTCGTCGAGCCTCTAGCTATATATAGGTTAGTATTGTTTCTTTGCTTCTGTGTATCATGTTGATTTTTATTCTGGTACCATAAGAGTTCAGTGCTAGTAGCTATTGATTTATATTGTACTCAACATATCTTTTACTTAATCATTCACCAAGATTAAGGATGTTCGCTACTCTGTTTCAAAATAACAAGCTTTTTAAAAGACTGTTATAAATTGATAGTATATAAATAACGGAACTAAGAAATCAGAAAAAAATGAAGGGTCCATGTGCTTGTTTTCGAGATATAATCCATTGAAAATTTGGCAGGAAATGATTCTCTCTAGACTTTTCATACAATTAATATTGGCACCTTTTTCTTTCAAAAACTATGAAATAATAACAAGTATTTTATAAGATTTTCAAATATGGCTTTTTTAACTATACATACGTAATAAGATTATGAAAAGAAAAGTACGGCTTAGTGGCAAAATTTTATTAATAACACTACATGGATAAAACCAGAGGATTAAGAATATCTGACAAAAATTCAAAAACAAGAGGAGCGAACATCTTTAAAAGGAATTGTGAGAGTTTTAGACACTAGTTTAACCCTGCCATATGTTTGTACCTGTCCCAAGGAATTTTGTCAGTTGTTGTCTTAATTATATTGTGAGGGTTTTTTCTATTGAGGAATTTGAAGATGATGGCAGATTGTTGATAGTCGCTGTTGAATTTATTCACATCCTTTCTAGACTTGTGTTGACTTACAACTTGACATACTATATTGACACTTTTTTTTTGTCATTGGGTTTCTGTCTTGTTGATGTTTAGCCTATAGTTCTGTTCTTTCATATTTATGTTACATTCACATTTTAACAGTATTATTTGCCCTATTCCCCAAAACCAAAGAGCTTAAGATTCAAGACCGGGAGCTTGTGCTCAAAGTTTTTGAGTAAGATGTCTAAAATAGTCTTAGACTGGATTTTGGGCTAGAGAGGGTACAAATGAAGTATGAAAATCAGTTGATGGTATTGAATTAAGAAAAGATTCATGAGCTTAATGATTATTGATTATAATTATTCCACAATAATTTTTTTCAACATGAGTAATAAGCTGTTTAAACTTTTTAAATTTAAAAATAAGTTCTTACTCCAGATAAATAAATTCAGGTTTTTGCAATTATTCATCATGTATTTTTGTTATCAGAAATTAGACATTAAATTTTCCATGTATGTTAATCCTTCCCTCACCAATAGTACACATTTATTATCAGTGAATTATAAAAGGCAGTATAGTTATTAAACTAATCTGGTATCCTTAATTCCTTCTTCACCCTGCAGTATATATCCGTATTTATTCATCAAATGACTGGAATGACAGTTTTCTTTATACTTTATATAAAGTTTGATATAAATAAAAGGGGTTTTAAAGAAAAAAAATATTGTGATTAAATATAGAAAGCTTAATAGGTTCTATATACTTATTTTAAGATAGAATTTTAAAATGGAAGTCTGAAGTTTAAGTAAGTACATGATGTATATAAATTTCTTCATTTTCAGGGATTGATTCGGAGGGGGATTGGATGTCATTAATTAGAATAGCAAATTTGAAGTGTCCGCAACTTGTTGATAATTTTTATACGCCCGTTTACGGGACGTATTATGATATATCGTTGTCCGTCCGTCTTATTTGCCTGTTTACAGGACGTATTATGGTATACAGTTGTCCGTCCATCCGTGTGTCTGTCGTCAACATGTCAGACAATAACTCAAAAACGCTTTAACCAATTTGCATGAAACTTTGGTGAATTGTTTATATCTATTCACGTAAGCTCCCTATAGATTTTTATGAATTTTAGATTTTACCTTTCCTAGTTCTGGGGGTTTTATTCATTATAAAGGGGGATTTTCCAGTTTTCGGACAATAACTCAAAAATGCTTTGAACAGTTTTCATGAAAATTTGGTGAATTGTTTATATCAATTGACTTAGCTTTCTTTCGATTTTTATAAATTTTAGAATTTAAGTTTCTGAGTTGTGGGGTTTTATTTATTAAAAAAGGGGATTTTCCAGTTTTCGGACAATAACTCAAAAATGCTTTGAGCAGCTTTTATGAAACTTTGGTGAATTGTTTATATATTAACCTAAGCTCCCTTTTGATTTTTATAAATTTTAGATTTTACTTTTCCAAGTTATGGAATTTTATTCATGAAAAAAGGGGATTTTCTAGTGAGCAGTATTCATGAAACTTTATTGACTGGTTCATATGTATTAAAATTACCTCCCTTTAGTTATTTTAAAAATAAATTTCTGATATTACATTGAGGAGTTAATTTTGGAACTTTATTCGCTGAAACAATGATGGGCATATCATGCACTCATGGCACAGCTCTTTATTTGATAATAAACTTGTTTTCAGATTTCCATCTAAGCTCAATTGTGACATTAATTTAGATATTTAAATTGCTTGCCAAACATAATACGTTTAAAATGTGTGTTCTTAGATGAAGTCTATTAAAAACTGTAACACTATACTCTGTTCCCTTTCTTGAGACAGTTTCCATTAAAACAGACTTTTCAATTGATATCTTGTTGTATGATTTGGCCCAATAACAAATATTTCATGCATATTGAGGACAACAAATTAAAAATTCTGTCAAAAAGAATTAAAATGTTTTGCACAATATGCTAAATAAAGCTTTTGTGTAATGAAAGATCAAAGATAAATAATGCTTTAAAGATGTATATTTTCACATATCATGTGATTTAAAAAACAAATTACATGAAAAAGTTGTAAAATTTTATAGATCTTAAATAAATATTTGTCTCTTATGTAATAAAACACTTATTTGCGAAAAAGGTATAATGCTACACAGTCTGTATTTGTAGAGCACAAGGTTTGAGATATTATCCATATAATACACATTTTCTTATTTTACATGTTCTGATATATTGTCAACCTGATGTTAATTCATATTTGGTATTAAAATCATTACAATATAAAAATGGATTAAAATTATTATTGCATTTTTGATGTCTGATCATTGAAGTTTTCTATAAACAATAGTTAAATAATAAGTTATTGGAAACGACTTATGCGATAATAGCTATTATTTGGTGAGCAACAAAGATTTAATCAGTTTTATGTTTTAATGTTCTTCATTTGAAAAATCTTTTAGCTTACAATTGAAAATCTTTAATGATAACTTCTCATTGATTTGTGTAACAGTTTGTCGTCTTTTGTTTCGTGGTAGATAGTAAAGGATGTCCCACGCTTGTTGGCTATTGCAACAGACTGTTTTCCCTTCATGGATCAATCATTTAATGACGGAGATCAGTTGATGCAGTAAGTGAGAAATAACATCTTGTCTTTACTGATTTAGGATCTGTCTTTTGTAGCAGCAGTCCAGACTCCAGTGACAGTAGCGGGGAACAATCGCCAGAAAAAGCCTGCATTCTTTACAACCGTCATTCGGTAAGAGAGTTTTCCGTGTGGCTAGACATAAAAACATCATCGTTTGATTTGTACAATATTGTAATAGGATTATAAATCAGTCAGTACATAATGTAAGTTAGGATTTAAATCAATTTAACAAATAGGATTACAAGTAAAAGGCAAATAAGTTAGATCAATATTGTTAAGAAAAATAATGTCTTTATTTGTCTAAAAAAAGTAAAAAGATGAAAAGTGAAACTTTAATGATATTAAAAATCTAACAGCCTGAGGGTCATATATTAATTATTGTAGGTAAGAAGTTGAACACCTTATTGCCAACTCGACAATGGTCAAAGTTTTAAATAGAAGTGGTTGTATATGAGACTAAATTCTCAAGATATACAAGAATACTATACCATTTATCTTACACAGAGTGATATTCTTCATCTTAAAGTTTTCTGGAAGGTCTTCAACAGTGAGGTAAAGAGTTCATCATGCCTTAAACAACAAGACGCAGTCTGGCTCTTATCTTGAACTTTTCCGTTAAATAATGTTGTTGCAGTCCCTGTATAAACTGTTAAAAACATCATTGAAAAACTAAGAAATTTCTTATTGAAATCAGAAAGTTACCTGCTATCTTTAACAAATTGATTTGAAGTGTTGAACATTTAAATGTGAGATTATGTTATGTAATTGTAAATTCAAAACTATTTATATATAACTGTTATATAGTTCCTTTTTAGTACATTAAATGATTTATTCTAATCAAAACAAATTTTCAATACGTCAATGAGGTACTAAAAACAAACAGTTTGTAAGTACAGTTTGTAAGTCAAATTGAAATGAAAAAAGTTTTATAAATAGATATGAAAATAATGTAAGCCCTCTATTAAGCTTTAGTATTCTGTAGTATAAATTCTGACAGGCGTACATACATTACTTGTGAATTATTAGAACTTGAAAAGTTGTGGTTCTTAATTTTTGAGTGTTGGGTAAAATTATAAGCTGTATTCTAGTATACATTCTGACAAGCATGCATTACTGGTGAATTATTGGAACTTGAAAATTTGTGGTTATTATTTTTCGAATCTTTTGTTATTATAAACTGTTGTGAATTAAGCTTATCACATCCTGGACCTTAATCTATAGCTGATAACCCTGGATTATATATTGTGGTTTCCTGAATCCTACAAAACTTAAGTGCAGCCCATTATACTGTAGAAATTGTTGACAGGTTTTTATTAATGCAAATAATGTGACTGGGCAAGTATCGCAGTGATAAGAACTCACATTCTGATATCCCATACATGTATCTGTATGCAGAATTTCATGAGATTGCAATAATTATTTTCAAATTTTTGGCCATTCTTCAAAGATCTGAAAATTCAGAAATTATTGCTTGCATTTATTATAGTGATTGTTGAACAATCAGCACAAATGTAATTTTGATTGTTGCGATTTGTGAAATGCTTTATACAAATAATTCTATCGAAATTTAAAATGCAAGTTTATTTTTGTGACATACAAATCTGTGTGCAATTTTTGAAATAATTAAAAAGCATCACAAAAATTTCTGAATTTACAGTAGTCTTAAAATTCAAGATATAGATATGTAATGTGTGTAGTTAATTCATTAGGTTGCAGACTATTTAAGGTAATACATTCTACTTAACTGTTTTTGCAAGAATTTTATTGTTTACTGACTTGTTTTGACACCTGATGTCGTGTCCATCTGCTGCTAGCAACACACAGGGATCACATATGTTGTCTCTGTGTCCTTGTCCACATCAATCATTAAACCACAGCTTCTTGACAACTTCTGCACAGAATTAAACCAAATTTTTATGCCTCACCTATGATAGTAAAGGGGCATTATGTTTTTCGGTCTGTGCGTCCGTTCGTTCGTCCGTCCATCCATCCATTCGTCCGTCTGTCCCACTTAAAGTTTTTGGTCAAGGTAGTTTTTGATGAAGTTGAAGTCCAATCAACTTGAAACTTAGTACACATGTTCCCTATGGTATGATCCTTCTAATTTTAATGCCAAATTAGAGTTTTGACCCCAATTTTACGGTCTTCTGAACATAGAAAATGATAGTGCCAGTGGGGCATCCGTGTATTATGGACACATTCTTGTTCTACTTGAAATTATTTTTTTAATCTTTAGGATATTTTAGGTTTCTCATACCAAAATGTAACGACTGTCTTAGCCATTTCTGTTTTTATCAATTTGCTAATCTACAAGTCTTTAAAAAAGCTTGAAAGAAATCAACCAAAGTAGCAAAGATTCTCCTACAGGACATGGAAATAGTGCACCTGCTACGCATATTTGAATTCAAAATTTTCAAGTGATTTTAGGGGTTTCCAAATTACAAACCTTGACTTGCCCATCAGCATATATCAGTTTGTTATTTACAACTCCTTCAAAAGGACTTGACCAGAGCTCCAGATAAGAATTCACAAATTGGGGTTTTTACCCACCATTTTTTTATGTAATTGGGTGATAAAGTTTTTTAATTGCATTATCAATTCCAATTCACCCCTCAAGCAAATATCAAATTGGGTTTTTCACCACCAAGCTCCTTAATGTATTGGGTTTTTTCATCAACACAATATTGAATATTTAGGCATGTTATAATCACATTATATCAACCCCAGATGTGTTTCCATCTTAAATGTGTTTCTTTCTTTGAATATGTGCTTAGCTGTTTTATTTGGTTTATTCACTGACGAGCAATTGAACGTTTAATTTGTGTCCCGTTTTAAACGTTCTGTCAGTTTTATATTTTCTCAAAACTTATGTAACTGCAGCTGGTGTCACTAGTTGGACAGTAACTAATTGCCTTTCTAGGTCCCATATGATCACCCTACAGTTTATAGTTGGGGTAGGTGTGGCTAAGTGTTTAGATTTTTATGTAATATATGTGAAATTTAGGTGCTGTAAGAAAGTTTTGCCAGTCCTTTCACCTATTTGACAGATCTACTTTTTAATAAAAATAAAAAGTAGTTCCCAGATTTAAGATATACCCCAAAACCTTGAGATTTATAGGGTGGTTTAATGATGGAGACCACATTCAACTTAAATTTACAAATAATTCTGCAACATCAAGTAAATAAATGACAATGTTATACTGCACTTGCCAATAAGACAACTATCTTAAGCATCCAGAACAATTAGACCAAAACAACGAAAGTGTCAAGCTGCATAATTTGACGTAAAAAACGGATATGTGTATTCATTCATCAACTAAAATGAAAAAAAATAATATATAAACTGTTTTTGTTTAATTCAATTTACATAAATCTGGGTTAAGTTGTCCCTTATCAGAACTTTTGGTTTCCGATGCTTTCCAACTACGTATCATGTCATAATTGATTTGGCCTTTCACTTTTTCCAACTGATTTCGTTTTTGACGAAACCCCGTGTTTATCGTTCTTTAGCAGTGTTCTCGTACCTTCAAACACGCCAGTGCGTTCAATGGACGCTTCCTAAAATCACTAGCTGAGTCTTGTTATCATCATAACTTTCCCTCAGCTATCAAAAAGAAGCCGAAAACATGCTTCTATTCAATATTTTTATCGGACATTTACTTTCGTTTTAATTCATTGTATGTTATGATAAATCCCGAGCAATTCGAAAAAATATGACAGCATGTCACACGCTAATTGGATAAACTCCGAGAAGATCGAAATGTTTTCATAAACACGTGTACCTTTTGAGCAACGGAAAATTCCAACAGGGACCCATTACAGCTACTTGATGCAGGGCTCTATTTTAAGAACGAAAGGACATTTCCAATTATAAATATTATAAAAATAGATTTACGCGACGACTGTTATCAGATACCGTAGAAAGGCTTGTATAGTCCGCGGTTTTATTCTCCAAAATTGGACCTTCCAGACGGGGTGCGGACTATAGAGTACAATAAGCAAGAAATAAGAGAAAAATTTCAATTTCGCGGTCGAGGTGGTTTGTTTACGTTCCGCCATCTTTGTTATTTCTATTGTAGAGGGCGCTCTTATCATTTTTCAAACTAATAATTTTAACTCATCCATATTAATAAGTTATTTCTATTCAATATCAAATTAATACTGATAAATATAAAAACTAAACCTTTCATTACAAATTTCTCGTTTCTTTTCAATGCATTGGTTGAAATAAACTGGTATCTGCTCGATTGAAACGATACAAACATAGTGAAAAAGACAACCGTAAACCAGCTTAGAATTTGTAAACTACAAAACAAAATCGGTTATTGTTCGTTCCGTTTTGGTGTTTCATACTGACTAATATGGTTTGTATTAGCTTAAGACCCTTCAAACATTAATGTGATAGATATATTTAAGACTGTTTTATAAAAGGATGGAACTGTTTTACTTTCAAAGTCGTATTATAGTGATATCTGTTATGTACGGATTTCGACTCTCACCGGTTAATTTCTTCTTTTACACGTGCTTTTTAAACTTCCTGTTTAAACATACACAAGTTTCTAAATTGTTTTTTAAGTGAATTAAACTTATTTTAACAATCATGAAGCGTTCTAGAATCATTAACAAGCAGTTTCAGCTTCTGTTTGATGATGGAAAACAGGTTTTTCCAAGAAAATACCGCAAACGACCGCACAGGATTTGAAATTACCGGAGTTTCATTAGACCTTTTCTAACAGTTACAAAAAGTTTTTTTACCTAAAATTTCGTGGGGAGAAGGGGGTGCGGACTATGTACCACTGCGAACTATACAAGCCTTTCTACGGTAAGGGTAAATAACGCAAACGATAGCGAATAAAAGCGTTAAGAACTCATGGTTTTGGGTTTTCCTTTGAATTAATTGGGTTATTGAACCCTGCAATGGGCAATTGCATTGGGTTTTTAATTATTTGTATTGCGTGATCACGCAAATACGCAGCTTATCTGGAGCTCTGACTTGACAGAATTTAACCAAACTAGCACAGATTCTTGTACAGAACTTGGAAGATTATGCACCTCCAAATTTAAGTTTTGATCTTGAGTAATGGGTTTCCAATACGAACATATATACTTGA